ATCTAATAAAGAAGAATTTAATTTAAAAAATCAAACGAGTTAACAGTAAATTACCTTAATTTCCATAGTAGGTACAACAACATCTTCTAAATTCTTAAGTTTAGTAATTGGTTGGTCTGTTGGAATACGTATGCCTTCTGCATTTAAAAATGGAGAGTTTTTTAGTGACAACTACGAACTAAGGAACAGCACAAAAGGTCAAGCAGGAATATTCAGCAGATGCCACAGGCCTCAACTTGTGGCTAATCTGTGTTTCAGGTCCTAATTTAGAAATGAAGACCCAGGGCTCTGGCCATTATGCAGCTCAGGGTCAGAACTTAACAATGGTTAGTGTGGCTTACAAATGAATTTGCAGATTACCTGGCACTGGTAATTAGACCAGACTCCACCTGAGGGACCAGACTGAGCACGTTAAAATAATTGCATAACAGTTTGCATAGCATATAGATAACATACTCCTGTCACATTATTATTAAAAGTGGCTAAAAGACATGACAATATTCTTTGTTTGCTTAGAGAAACACTACCTGAAGTCTCATTCTTATTTTAAAGCAGTAAGGATTTAAACTTGAAGATATGATTCTGAATAGAAAAAATACAATTATTAAAGTATGGGAAGATACTCAGAAGCAAGTGCACACTTAGAGACTAGACACAAACCAAATATTAGAGCAGCTTATAATCATCTGAACTGAAGCAGCAAGAAAAGTGATTAAACAAAGGCATTTTAGCACCTATGGAAGAAATGGTAAGTAAGGTGTTCTTAAGTTCCAAGGTACAATGAGTAACCACTATCATTTAAAAAAAAAACTATGACCCTAGAAACTCTCAATTTTTCAGTCACTTTAATAGACTTGCCTCTTTAATAGACTTGTTGCAATTCTCTGCAACAAGTGTGTGCTCCAGAAAACTACCAGAAGAAATCAAACCATTAATTTAGTGTAGTCATGTATTATCAGTTCCACCAAAAGATATTAAGTGAAAAAGAGACTAGGGGATGTTGAAACTATCAGATAAAAATTAAATTTTTGGAGCATATGTGAATTGTAACCACCAGGACCTTTGTATTTATAATTACAGCATTGTTTGTGATTTTAAGCAGATTTACTTATTAGGCTCTATAATTACTATATCTCTACAGAGAATAACATAGCAAGAAAGCAGCATTCATTCTTTCAGACACATACTTCTCTCAGTCTTCCACTGAGTGGCATCTAAGTTTGCTAATATAATATAAGCATCACAAAGTGCCTCAATACTTCTGACCATCTGAGGTCTCTTACTTCTGATAGTACATATTATTTTGTTTGCAGCCTCCATTCGATCCTATTAATAAAAAACAAATGAAAAACATTACATAAGGAACTACCCAACACTTAAACTTCTCAGAGTTACAAAAACAAAGAGAAAAATAGAATTTATGTACAATCTAGACAATGAGATCACTATAATTCCTCAGATATAAATAAAACAGTCATCTTATGAATGAAATACATCAAAAAGTACAATACTCTTAACAGTCAATGACTTAGATGCCTTTTAAAAATCTATTTTTGGGTGAAGGATGATAGTTACATTAAAAGCCCAGACAATATATCTGTATTAAAAAATTGCACTTTTACCCTTTAAACTGATTTTTTTTTTTTAATCTA